GACAGCCATATGTCGAACGCCAAGAAACCCTTAGTGCACTGGCGACGATGGAAAATCATAAATTGTCAAGTAGGTATCTGTTTTCTTTCATGGCAAGCTCCGCACTCGAATAGTCGTCTTCGTCGGTTATTTAATCCGCCGACCACTCATTCGGCCACAAATATTTAGATAATGCCACCATATTGATAAAGGCTCAGACTCACCTAACTATCATCCTTAAAAATTCTCCCCGAACCAATCAGATTCTTTTTCCAAAATTCGGAACTATGATAGGCTAACTCCCCCCCACATCCCTAATGACTCGCTAATTCCTATTCGTTAAAGATCGCGAGATTCTTAATTTCCGAATCAAAATCCCGTCCCGCGATAGCTTTTTACCAAGATCCTCTCCGAAGGAAACAAGCACTTCGCACTTGCTCTTTGACCGACAGTCTTCACGCGCTCTGATCCGTTAGTTTTTTTTTCACGAGCAATTTTAAACCTTTTTCGGACATTCGTGTACCTGCGCGTCCATTCGTATTCGCTTGTACTCTCGGTTTAGCTCGTCGATTCTCGCCAAAATAACCGCAAATTTAGTTATTAAAATTTTAGTATCAGGACGGGTAAATTAAACTAAACCAGCAACTTTTTTTAATCTTCATTTTATTAAATTCGAATCAGAGTGTTTCTTTTGTGCTCCCGTGCTTCTTTCTATTCTGCTGTGAGATCCCAGGAGAACCGCTGGCCGCTGGTCCCGCTTGCCTCTAGTCGATCTATCTGTAATGACATTTCTTGTTATCATCACAGTAGTAAGTCGCATGGATTAATATGATCTATCCATCACTACTTAAATACCGATTGTTTCCCCTTGCTCCCCTTCCCCTTACTTACCTTTCTGAGCCTACCGTGCTTAAGGTTTAACACTTTTACACTTACATAATTATTATTTACACTTACATAATTATTTGTTTAAATTATTCTATTATTTTCTTGTTTATTTACTTATATTGTAAAAAGCATGGCCCTAAATATTTTAACGTAGAGTCTTACCGAACTGCCATGCCCGACGAAGTACTCCGCACTTTTGTAACATCCGCGTGCTACACTTATATGCAATTTTATTCCATTCTCATACGCCCATTCGAAATAATATTAACCGTTATCATTATCTACTGAATAATCACTATGGGTATCATTTTTCCTTTATGTTAAATATTTTGTGTTTTAATTTTGTACTTTGTTAGTTTCACTTTAATTAATTAAATGATTATTTTAACGATAAATCCATTTATTCGTTAATAATTTAACCCTCTTGAGTAGTAAGTGGGGCATTATGGCGCGTCAAAACAAACCCCTACCACCTTCCCTGGCGCTAGGGGCGTGGCCCCCGGTCAAAAACTGGCAGCCACATGGAAATGGAGCGTTCTGATTGGTCGGTGGGGATGGGAGATGATAATTAGGTAATTAGTGGGAGTGTTCTGATTGGTTGGCTCCGTAGCTGCCCGACGCGTGATTGGCTCTACCCATAGTGCCCCATGTGTGCGATTGGTTGTCGAAATGCTAGACGAGGTAGGGGAAGGGTGAGAAAGCGTCTGGGACCGATCGGAGTCCGAAAACAAAATGGCGACTGCGAAAAGAAATATGGCGGGACTGTAAAAGGAATATACTTGTCGAGAATGGAATGCGATTTTTTGTTCATGTGGGATGGAGCGAAGAGAAGAAAACCGATTTTTTGTGGAATTTTACTGGTTGTATATGGGATATGAAGAATCCCGTTTTTCTTAGGGCGAAAGGTTTCTCGGCGCCTCATAGTCGGTGAATTTAGATAAATTTCTCGACTCGTTTGACATTTTTTGTATGGGGGAAATATAGGTTACGAGTGGATATAGGTTTTGAAGACATGAGATTTTCGGAGTGTAATAACCATTATTTACCAGCTCGTACAGTATTTGGCCGGAGGAAAACGGGAACGGACAGGTTCACACTAAAGGTTTCTGATGACGACGACGACGACGAACTTAGAGTTATACGAGGATTTTATCCTATCCACAAACACGCGGGCTGAAAAATTTTCTTTCGATGTGACGATAACTATGCAGGCATACTGAAGGGAGAGAGAGAGAGAGAGAGAAACGTGTGGGTCAGGAAAGCATAGAGGTACTAGAAGACAATAGAAAAACACGCTCGCGCAGGCCCGCGTAAATGACTTTCAAAAAGGAAGAGTTGTGAAAAATTTAGGATAAAGGGAGAGATAAAGAAACGACGTAAATTTGAATTTATGTTACCAAATATAAGTCGAATTTATTTTTCGCATATATGAATATGTTTTGTTACAGAGTTATTCTTCTTGTTACAAAATTAAATATACGAATATTATATCAAAATTATAACTCACGATTCAATAAAATTATAGTAGTAATTTCTTTAAATTTTAATGTAATTAATTCTAAAAATACAGTATCAAAATATGTATCCAAAAATGATAAATTATTTATTTGCGTTCTCACAGCAAGTTCGATATCCTTTGGTTGCCTCGGACGGTGAGTTTGATAATATCGGCGTCGATGTAATTGTTAGGTAGACATAATTCTATCTCTTTGATCAAATAACGTGCGCACTCGTTAAGTATCGACGACGGATGCTAGATGGTTTATACGAGCATCGACACATTTGACGATATTCTCCATCCCTTGAAAAGTAGCTTGTTGCATTACAACTGCAACGGAATAAGTTTTCCTTTTTTTCGACGGAGGTTGTTCCACCGTTTTCGAATCTGCTTGCGTATTTCCGGTATTGTTTTCTTTAGGAAAATTTTCATTTTCCTTATACGTCACCAATACAGCTTTCGCACCGTAAGCAGAGGTGAAGTTGATGAATATGTTTGCAAATGTGATGGGATTTACTTTGCTTTTGCTGCTTCCGTTAAAGTATGCGCTCATGTACCGAATACTGTCTTGAAATTGTTGCCACGTGTCCGCATCAAAGCTGATTCCTTCTGCAGAATTACCACTCAATTTAACGACAGGCTCGAAGATCTTTTCTTTAGATAATTTTAATCCCATGTAACTTCTTCGTATGAGAGGTATTGAGAGGTATGAGAGGTATTGAGAGGTATGAGAGGTATTGAGAGGGTACGTCGTAGAAAGTAGCAAATTTTGTTCCACATTTTGCACACAGTTCTTAAATATCTTGCGAATATTTTCTAGTTTAGTGGGATTCGCAGTTTCTTGTTGTCCGGCCATATTACACGATGAGAGAATTTTGAACAAAATGTCCACTTTTAACAAATGAAAACTCGGAGAAATATTTTCGAAGTAGACGCTTCGAATGTCGTTACTCGAATGAAGTAGTGTAGCGGTACCTATCTATATCGCATCATCCCCTCCTTTGAAATAAATAAAAAAATACGATTTATAAATAATATACAGTTAAACCGATTCTAGAAGATTCTAGAAGAAACGCGTATTTTCGCTTTGTCTCTGCTTGTTTTCAAGGAAAAACTTTCCTCGAATAACAGAATTATTACAGATTCGATCATGTTCGAACACACGCGAATTTTCAATGTTAGATAAGAAAAATTTTAAATAAATAAATTATTGAACATTCGAATAAACTATAATTTTACGTTGCTCTTTTTCAAGGAAAGAATTTTCTCGAATAAATAATATTACAGGTTCGATCACGTTCGAACGTGTCAGGGTATTAGATGAGAAAATTTAAAAATCATCGTAAAATCATCGTAAAATGCAGAGACTATTTCAAGAAGAAGAAGAAAGTATCGAAATATACAATAGAAGTACGAGTAAGAAATATTTTATAAATGTTTAAAATTTGTTAATGTTTAATTTGTTAAATGAAAAAGCGAGAACTTTCCTTCCGAAAAATTTAAATAACTATTTATTTGGACGTGCTATATATCTGGCGCCGTTTATACGCCGTTAGTAAACAAAAAAAAACAAAACAGGGTCAAGCTACAAGAAATATAAATTTTTCAAGAAAAAATAATTTATTACTTAGGCCGAAATAACATTTTCACCCTCGCGTTCTCCTCGAAACTACGGGATAATTCTATAATTTTTTTATAAATCACTTTTGGAAAAGATTTTCCCTATAAATAGTGCGTCTAGCGCTATTGGAAATCTATTTCCGAGTTGAACTCTTCTGTGTTTCTACTACGGTTTTGTCGTGTGGTATTTAAAAGTTTGTGTTCGTGATATTTTGCGTGAAAAATGACTATGAGTGTAATTATTAAAAAAATCATAAAGTTAGCATCGAAGTTGGATATCCACATAAACGCGGATAAATTTTTGTTTAAAATATCCAACGTTTCGCTCGATGCTAATTATTTACTTTTTACACGTTTTTCGTGCGAATGTTCGGATACGATATTGGGAGTGCTATATCAACTGGGTTACTTCGCTGGCGACGAGCGTTTACTCCGGAGAAATAATCGAAACGCGATGCGCGGTTGGACACGAAGAGGAGGATGTGGGTGGACACATCCAAAATCTCCTCTCTCATTTCCTTAACGGTAAGTTGCTCTCTATTATTTCTATAAAAATAACTCATATATCGAACTCGCGATTTAGCTAATTTTTAATAATAAATTGTAGCAAGAAATGCGCGTCAAAAAGCCACAGCGATAGTGTATCCGCTCACCCAGATTCGGAGACGACGCGCGGAGGACGAGCCAGAAGCAGGACCAGCACGTAA